TGTTTGCAAACAAACTACAGGCGATAACAAAATTAAAACAATTATAATAAGCATAGATATTGTGTGAATGATAAGCAGGTAAAGAAGTATTATCCCACGTTTCTATAATAATAGACTATGTAGATCCTTATGGTTATCAATAACATCCCGGTTTTTCAATTAGTTATCACCCCAGTTTTTTAATTAGTTATCATATCGGAAATTTACATAATATTTATTATTATTTCATTTATGTTTATTATGTTTATTATTATAATTTTTTTTTTCTAAATACAACAAAAGCAAGAATTACAACGATTTCATATCATGAATCAATTATAAACATTAAAAATTTAATCTTTTGGTGCGATTTGAAGATTTATTTGGACATTATTATAGAAATTTTCGGCATTGTTTTTTTCATGAGGAATTGTAATTGTCAGTCCATTAATAGCTGCTAATTCCACATTTACCAATTTTAATCTTTGAGCATCTCCACCACAAAAACCACACAAGAAACATAACCAGAAATAGGTTTTGTAAGTGGTGGATAATGGTATGCCTTTGTTTAACTCAGGATGTGTTAAAATTTGATAAATTTCATCATATTCAAGTGAGTCAGATTTTTCTGTTCTTGTCAATAATTCATTTTCTAAAATTGCTTGGCAAGCAGCCTCCCAATCTTGTTGTGTCTTTTTTAGATATGCAATTTCACATGCCTCTCTAACTGCCATGGCAACTACTCTGGTGCGGCTTGCATCATCTTCGATAATGATATTTCTATTTTGATTTGACATTGTTGTTATTTTAATAATTATAATAATTATACACGATCTTACATATCAAAAATCTTTAACTATTTATACAAAAGAGAGGAATATAATCTAAATTACAGATAAGAAAAAAATCTAGATATCATTCATTGCCTTTATTATTTTGTGATACTAATCTGTTAACAATTCCAAATTTTCCATCAAATAGATTGATCTAGACCTTCTTTGTGTCACTCATTATTCAGACAGAGTTGATGGGATTCACGTGATGCTGTGCATTCTCAAAGTAAATTCTAACCTTTTTATTTCATACAAAAATTCAAAGTTTCTTATTGTATATTCGACGCATGGTTTAACTCGCACAACATTCAGTAAAGCTACTCGCTATTTCACAAAGATTTCTAGTTATTTGTTAAAAATCTCTCGTTATTTATTTAGTAGAGCATTTAAAGTTCAATACAATATAAAACTCCTATACCATTATTTGTTTGTTTGTTTATTCTAATTATATAACAAGATTATGTAACTATATAACATTAAGACAAATCGGTGATTTATGATGAGTCGTAATCTATAATATCAATATCAATTTGAAAACCAATTACGGCACACAAACTACGTAATGTTATTAACAATATAATTTATTCTATACGTTTGTTGATATTTTTACTGCTAAGGAAAAAGCCATTCAACTGGACATTATTGTTGTGAAAAAAAAAAAATTCTTTTTATATTCAATTCAAACAAATTTTATGTGCTCGACCGTGAGAATGTTTTTTATATCATCAATTTTCGAGTAAAAGTACATTTATAATAAATATCTATAAATTCAGTCGTCGCGCAGCATGCACATTAATAATGTACTGCGCGTCGATCGAAAGGGTTATTGTTTTTTAAAAACTTGCGTACAAATAACTTTCTTCCAGGGAATGTATACATATTATATATAATAATTGCTGAAATTTATTTAATAGAAAAGCAACCTACAATGCTTTACAACAACACAGATAATCAATTAAACTCTATAAATATCAAAAAGAATAGCGGAAACGAAGAATGGGGCTTGAAACCCATTCATTAATTATTCCTTGGAATAAAAATATTTGTTATAACGTTGACATACAAAAAAAAAATTAATATTTGTTTTAAGCATCTAATTGGATAATCTTTCGCATAATTCAAACGATAATGTTGGTGT